GGATCAGTTATGAAAATTAGAGTATAGGACATGTATTTAATGTATTTAGGTTATACAAACGTGAATATTCATGGATGTGATATGCAATTTGCTTATATTAGAAAATATTTTTAATCTTGAGAGATGTATATTAAAGTATTTAGAGCTGAAATAGCCTGATATGTATTACCACCAAATGATTCAGCAAACAAACAAACAAAAAGAAGTGAGGGCATATATTCAAAAGTTAACTTTTGCTAAATCTAGGTAAGGATTGTATGAGTACTCATCTACTATTCATTCAACCTTCTGTAGGTCTGAATATTTGCTCAATAAAAACAAAACAAATGAGTTAAAATTTCATACTCATTAGTTTGAAAAAAAATAGCCTGATGAAATGAACTGTTGGTGCAGAAGTGAGAATGATGTGGAGCAGCAGAAACTTGTATTGCTGGTAGACTCTAACTTTGGAAAATATTTTGTCACTAGCCAGTTGAGCAGAAGACGTTAATTATATCCTCTGCTGGGGAATCCCATTTCTTATTGTTTGTCTCAAGAAAGCCCTGCTATGGCCATCAGGAGACATTAATAAAACTGTTTTAGGCAACTTGTTTTAAAAAGCAAAAATTTGGAAACACTCAACTGTAAAAAAAAAGCAACAAATAAATTATGCTATGTAAATAGAAAATAAAATACCATGTAACAATGAAAGTAAACTATGGCTATAAGCATCAACCTGGGTTATTCTCAGAAATAAATTATTGATTTAAAATAGCACACGATGTGAAGGTCAAAAGTATACAACCCTTAGTATTTATTTGGAATAAAGTTTGTCCTGAAATGTTTTATTTAAAGGTGTCCATACCTCACAGCTGTCAATCATTTAGTTGAGACTTATCAAAGTCCTATGTCTGTCCCAAATGCCAAGATGACAGCCTATGACCAGAGGATGCACAGGGGATCCTCAGCTAGAGGTACCTTCTCAATGCTTTTCCTGCAGCATAAGAATAAAGGCACTACCCTCCTAGGGCCTATGTTTATATAAATGTGAGTGCATTGGTTCGGTGGTAAATGAGAAACTGAATGTTAGTGAGAATTAAAGAATTAGAAGTAACACAGGCAGTTATGACTTTTTTGTTGACCAGAGAGATACTCTTTAAATCTTAAAAATAATTAATCTTTTCTATTTGTTTGCAGAGTAAAAGTGAGCAAATAACCATGCGGCATCTAACATCAGGAAACTGGGAAGTGATAAAGATCTTGGCATACGATGAAACTACTCAAAAAATGTGAGCATGTTTTGGTTCTGTAGTCAGGTTAGAAGTCAGGGTTGTCAACTGCAGTATTTTCTGCCAGATTTATGTTTTGCCAACTGTGGTGCTAGTCCAAATAACTTGGCCATGTAGCAACCTTTTCTTTAAAGACTCTCTCTATCAATCACCTGCAGAGACACTTATATAGACACTTACACACACACACACACACACACACACACACACACACACACATGCACACACCCATACGCAGAGAGATTGAGAGAGATCATAAAAACTGTGATAATATTTTAAGAAAAAGTATATATTTCCCAAATGGATCAAAGTCCTGTATCAAAGTTCTGTGGTTAATCACAAAAAAGCTCTTCTATATTCTGGACAGTGTAAAAATGTTGATTTGTGCCTGATGCTTGTGCTGTTTTCTTTCCTGGGCAGTTACTTTCTGAGCACGGAGTTTTCCCCCAGAGGGAGGCAGCTGTACAGGTAAGCAGTGTAGGATCTCTCTCTATACAGGTTGATTTCTCCATGTCCATTATACAGCTTAATGAGAGGATGAAAAATTCTGGAGGTTTTTTTTGACGTGGCTTGGGGAGAGCCAACTCTGCATGACCTTCACACTCTTGGTCCAGTCCCTCAGCCCTGACCTTTATGATCCTCAAGGTTAGAACCGGAGTGCAGACAATATTGCTGCTCCTTATTTTTTTATCTCACCTGCTTCTACAGTCTCAAAATATTTTTTTTTCTGAGGCTTGGTTCTCTTAACCACCATCATCACAGGCATTCACATATTTCACCACTGGCCTTTCTTCTAATAAGCCTCATTTTGCATTTTCAGTGTGTTAATATTGTACACATGCAGCTTATTTCTGAACAAAAGAAAGCATTGTGAGCACTTATAGACTGGATCCAGTGCAAGTTTCTCTCCCCACCACCCCCCACATAGTGTGCACAATCCATTAAGGTTATTTAAGCCAGTACTGCTTGTTGTTTACCAACATAAAGCAATGGATGGGGCATATTTCCATCTGCCAATTTTCCCAAGTGGAAAGCTCTATTCATAAAAGGGGCTTAAGGTCATTCCCATGTAGTATCGAAATGCCTCTTCACTCAGAAAGCTTTCAGCAGGACCTCACAAGAATGACTGCTATTTTTGTCTGGCAAGCAAATTATTAATTCTAGACTTTATATATACTTTCTAATTTCCATTTCACAGTTTTAAAGTGTCAAAACTGCCATGGCATTTTCTCAGTGGAAATTCATCATGTTTGAAGAAGTGTCACCACTGATTCTTACCAAGTAGCCTAGACTTTCCTTTGAGGGTAAAAATACATGTTTAAAATGCTCTAACTCCCTCTATTTCACCCATATGCTCTCATTTATGCGCATATTGCTTTTATCTGAAGCAAGCCTTGCCTTTCTATCACCCCTTCCAATATGTCATATTGTCTTTTCTCTTAGAGTCTAGAAGCCATAGTCTCAATCCTAATGACTTTCAAAGGAAGAACAGTTAACTGTTTATTTAAAGACACTGATTCTAACTTGGGTTCAGATGTCTTCAATAAAGTACTGGTCACTTTTTTTTTCTTTTTTGGTTACCTGAAGCTTATCTTCCTTGAAACTTATACTATGATTGGTATTGGCAGTCATGAGCAATCCTTTAAGATGTGGAAATACTTGACCAGTATTTTATTTTCCCATTTTATAAAAGTCCTAAAGGAAAAATTAGTTTCAGAAGATTAGACTTGGCCAGGTTGAGCCAATGGAATTCCCTCCATTCCTCTTCCCATTATTAGCCTAAAATGTGATTTGAATCACAATGACTCCTTAGATTTGTGTGCTTGACTTATCTCTGTAGTGACTGAGGCAGAAGAGTCAATCTCTCTGTGACTGGTGCTAGCATAGCACGCTGTGCTATAAAGAAAATGTAGTACCAATAAATTTCCCCTTAAACAGATCATCAAATGCCAGTTGGCTTGACTGTAAGATAATGTTAGTGTTTAATCCAGAAAACTCAATCAATGTCTTGTCCAGGCCATAAAAATACTCATTGGCTGACAATTTATGGGATTAGACACCTCTGCAGAACCAGCACTGCTACCAGATTCAGTGTTACCATTTGATCTTACAATTTGCATTTCTTATTTCAATAATTTCAGGGTCTAAATTATGAGAAAATACCAACATAAACCTCTCGGGAACCTGGATCTGAAAAGTTATATGGAGTCGAGAGTAAAGGTTTTAAATTCTAGTTATGTCACTATATACCTGAGTGTGAATAGTACACATTATTAATCTCTCTGTAGTGATGGTTGCACAACATTGTGAATGTAATTAATGACATTGAAATATACACTTTAAAATGGCAAATTTATATATATATATATATATATATATATATATATATATATATATATATATATCTCATAAGGTGAAACTGGCTACTGTGTTTAAGTGCCTAGTGTATATTAATCACCTTTACTAGTAAAGGAATGTTTGGGTTATGATGAGCTCAGATTGCTTCAGCTTTGAAACATGACTCTGTGAACTGTACTTAATTGCTTCTGTGCTTCTGATGCCACATCAACACCCTGTCCCTGCCCCCAGCCCCATGCCTGCAGCATATTACACATCAAAAGCAGCATGACCATGATTCATTTCCAACTGCATAGCCCAAATCATGTTTTGTTTCAAAATAAAATTGAATTTTTTGTCAAATAAAATTTTATTAAATGTATTATCAACAGTGTTTTACCTATTAGCATAGATAATTTATGATTCATCTCTATTTAAAAAATAAATGATTCTAGATATGAAATTTAACCTTGGAGATATAGCTCAACCCCTCTGACCTTAAGCACCACTATTTGTAATATAAAAAGATGATTGATTTTTCTTTTTACTTATCCCCCTGATGTTGCAAAATATGTATGATTTTAACTATATATATATAAAATAACTTTCTTTACCAAAAAATTCATGGCACATACTTAGTGGGAAAAAATTTCACACTAATATTAAATTCCAATTATTAGAGTGTCGCATTGAATAAATAATGATCTTGTTTTTTTGTGTATGATATGTGAAAACATTTATTAGTTCTTTCAATGAACGTTTATTGATGACTTTATGTTAGTCTTTATGGGCAATTACTTTTAAGACTTTACCAAGAAATACCTGTAGAGAAATGCAGTAAAGAATAAGTTTTATTGAGTTCTGTGGAAATTAGATTCTTTATTTATAAGCATACATACATACATACAGGAGTACATAGTTTTAATTTTGTTACAGAGAAGAAAAATGTCCACGTGTTAACATTAGGAATGGAAATTGACTTTCATTTGTATGGCAAGTCATAATTTATAAGGAACCTCAATGTAAGTAATGCTGGAGCTCCTCTGTTAATGTTGACGTTAAAATATAGAGGCCACACAATCAAGTACCTGGAACGGTAGCATTTCTAACGTGTGCTTTTCCCCCCAGTGCATCTACCGAAGGATTATTGAATCGTCGATGCATTTCATGTGATTTTATGAAAGAACAATGCACATATTTTGATGCCAGTTTTAGTCCCATGAATCAACATTTCTTATTACTCTGTGAAGGTAACAGATGATTTCTGATACAGTTTATTTTATTGATTTTATATGGCCAGCATCTATTACTATCATTAATAACTATTATTCTCTAGTTATATGACTTTTTCTTAATATATGTTTTTAAGTTATAAATTATGGATTTACTGTGACACAAATTATATTCATAAACTTCATTTAGAAATAGGATTGGAGAGTAAATACACACAATCAGAAAGGACTATTTAAACATGAACGATTTTAAAAAGTCATGCCACAATAATAAAGTAATTTAGCTATATTTAGAAAAACAATAGTCATAAAAATAATGGCTAAGTTGTTAAAATATTTAGGATATACAGAAATTTAATTTTCTGGGTCTGGTCCCTTTCAATTCTGACATATTACACTCACCCCAATTATTTACTCTACCTGTAATTAGTATAGTCTTTGATAGGGCCATGATATCGCTAGGTTATATTGATAGAAATCATTGTCCCTTTAAGAGGACACTGTATTTCCCAGAGATGAAATGGGAGACATGTTCTCTGATACCAGTGGTCGGCAAACTGCGGCCCCTTGAGTATGGCTCTTCCACAAAATGCCATGTGCGGGCGCACAGTACAGTGCGGTTGAAACTTCGTGGCCACACTCAAGGGGCCAAAGAGCCGCATGTGGCTCTCGAGCCGCAGTTTGCCGACCACTGTCTTATACTATAGTATTATCAATTGAGTGCTACTGGTTCAGCTGGCACCTAGGCTGTCCTGTTTTAAGACAACATGAGGAATGAACCAACACTTACTCATTTAAATTAATTTTACTCTTGATGTCTGAAATGAAGTAATCAAAAAAGAAAAGTACTTGTTTGATGTCACCAGGGAAAAACCATTAGACCTCTAGATAGTTTCCTAATTCATCTCTATCGAATCATAGAAGAAAAGTTTCTTATGGTTACACCTGAATTAACTAGTATGTTTGAAATAATTAGTGATTCCAGTTAACATATTTTAAAAATTAGTATATAATCAGCTCTAATTTTTATTTATCTTGGGGATGAAATAATTCTAATAGGCAGGGGTTCTTTCTTTCTTGGCTGACTGGGTAAATAGAATTTAATCTTGCTTGAGCAGATGATGGAGAAGTCAAGGGTCATGAACCAGCTTTCTGAATATCTGTGACTAATCTATAAAAGACTAGAGAAAGAGAGAGCAAGGCACATAATATTGGCTTAAAACCATAGAAATATGGATGCATGGGGCATTTTGGATAAGGGGGAATCTTAAAATTAACCTATACAAATAGTTTATTTCACCCTATGTTCTTATTTTCTGAATAAAATATCCATAGAAAGGAATGAAATCTAGTGGACTTATTTCTGTTTCACTATGTAGCCTTATCAGTAATTACTACTTAAATTTTTTTTAAATGTTTATACATATATTTTTTAAACCCAGGTCCAGGGGTCCCAATGGTCAGCCTACATAGCACGGACAACCCAGCAAGTAAGTACATGAACACAGCAATACAAAATAGTCATGGTTGGTGCTGGTCTTAGGTATTATATTATTCATTCTGAGTGCCATACTCTTTAGAACCTTCTTCAGAAGAGTTCCCAGCATGGGGAAAGCTGTGTAGGCACCATCAACTAGACCTGTGTATGTAAAGGAAACAGTAAGGCAAGTGGATTGAGCCATGTTGCAACTGGAGTTGGATCTTATATGCCTGAAATAGGGTGTCTACTGTGTCTATATTAAATGAGAGGGGTTGATGAGGCTCCTTTAAGTATAGTATTTCATTCTACTATCCCCTTTGTACTCTGGGTTCATTTTTCTTGGCCTCATATAAATTATTCCTCTAGAGCAACACATTTTTTGTACTGGTACTTCTGGGGAAATTAATAAAAACATATTATTTATATTTCTATTCTATTTGTTCCATATATTCATGGATTTCTAGTTTTATATATATTCATTTATTGTTTAATATATTTATTCAACTGTTCATCATTTATTGAGTGAGCACATAATTTAACAAGCCATATGACAGAGGCTGGATGTACATTGTTGGTAAGACAAGGGCAATATGTTTAAGAACTTTAAGTAGAGTGCTCAAGTAAATCCATGGTTGAGCTAATCTTAAAAATGAATAGCCAGATTGCTGCCTGCCACCCATTCTTCTTACTTTTTTCCATATTTATTTACCTTCTTCCAGTTTAACATTTTTATTTAATCAATAATCTTATGCTCTAATAATTTACTGTAGGATACTATAATCTAACAAATTAGGCTTATATTTATTATTTTATTTAACCCTCAGAACACCTCTTGTAATAGTTAATGTTATTACTCTATTTTACAGACGAGGAAATTGAGTCAGAGAGGTTAAATAACTTGGCTAGAGTCATACTAGTAGGTGCCAGAGCCAGGAATCAAATGTGATAGTCTGACTCCAGCACAGGGTTTGTAATCACTGCTACATGATGACACCTTGTTCGATTGTGTTTTTGTCTCTCACCTCACATACTTATATATTAAGTAGGAGTTTTACTGAAATGCCTAGACTTAAAGAAGATGAAGGCATAAAAAAATGCAATGTTGAATTATAAATGTCAATTTTAGAGAACAGAGGAAGACCTTTTGTACTAGTCATGAAAAATAAAAAGGGGCTGTGAACATGGTCTGGTGATTAAATTTCCCTTCAAAAGACAATTATTAAGATGAAATGTACATTCAACTGTAACAAAATAAATCTTCTGGTTAGTCTTTGTTACACTACTGTGGCATTAATAACTCATTTTGGGTCCACATGAAGTAGAACATGGCGTAAAAGAAAATTGAAATTAAAAACAAATAAAATTTTTAAATAAACATAGAAAACCTTTAAACCCATAGTTACCAAAGAAATGCAAAGTAAAATGCTGCTGTGTAATTTTTTCTAACAAATTAATAACATCAAAAATTTGCATTGCTAATGAGGATATAATGAAGAATCTCTTAACTTCCTGGTAGAAATATAAATTATAGCAAATATTTTTAATAAATCATAAAAATTATAAGCCTTAAGTCTTTTATATCTATTTATTCAGTTTTTTTCTTTTTAATAGTTAATAACTCTAGAGAAAATTATAACAGGGCTATTGATGATAGTGGAAAAGTATATATAAATAGCAAAAGAGAAGAATTTATAAATAAACCTTAATGGAATATGCGTTAGTGTGCTGAATATCTTCCATTTTTCCTTCCAGACCACTCTTAACTCTGCTTTGCTCTCCTCTGGTCTCTATCCCAGAAATAGTGTGTATGGATGACTTAGGTTCTATTGTAATTTGGATGCCAATTGAATTCAGCTAAAGTGAAGTGAATCCCGTAGGTGGCTGAAGAAAGGAGAAAGTGATTTAAAAAAAATTATTAAATTGTTTCATGTTGACATATTGCAGGTGTCCCCCCCTTTTCCCCCCTCTTTGCTCACTCCACCCACCCCCACCTCCCCACCCCTTGGCCTTCACCAAATTATTGTCCTTTCCCATGAGGTATGCATAGATGTTCTTTAGCTAATCCCTTCGCCTTCTTCATCCAGTCAACCTCACCCACCTCCCCTTGGGCGCTGGTCAGTCTGTTCCGTGAATCCATGCTTCCATTTTGTCAGTTTATTTTGTTTGTTAGATTCCACATATTAGTGAGATCATATGGTATGAGAAAATGATTCTGGCGTAGCTATTCCTCCAGCCTTATCCCTGTGGGGGTCGCTCAGGTTGCTACAACTCCTGGCTAGAGGTCACTGTGGAACTTTCATACAAACATCTTCAAATAACTGCTCTCTCCCCTTCATCTGCAGACCTAGCCACTGTCGTACCAGCCCTGGGTCATTGCACCAGTTCTTGTGATCCTCTGCCCATTGTCCACATATTTGTTAATAGTCTTTTATTAACATTTTATAAAATTATTCTAATAGAGTTGCCATTAGTTTCCCATTAGGATAAAAAGCATGTTGGGAGGGGACTGGGGGGCTGGGTGAAAAAGATGAAGGGAGGAAGAAAAAAATTGGTAGTTACAAAGGAGTCCCAGAATGTAGAGCATAGGGAATATTCCCTGTGCTGTAATAACTATGCATGGTGTCATGGGGGTACCAGAATTATTGCGGAAACACTTTTGTAAGTTATATAAATGTCTAACTGCTATGAGCAACCCGGGCACGTGCCCTGACCGAAATTAAACCTGGAACCTTAAGTCCATAGGCCAAAGCTCTATCCACTGAGCCAAACCTGCCAGGGCTCTAAGAATGTTTAAGTCACATGTCTAAGTGATTAAGAAGTCCACATGTTTATGCCACTTGAACAAAACTATTTGAAAATGAATAGAAGTTCTCAGGAAGAAAATATTTACAAATGCTAAATAAAATTCTTGCATCTACCTGGCAGCCTTCCAGGTGATTTTTATTTTTATTTTATTTTCATTTTTTGCTCTTTCTTCTTGAGTGTTCTCCTATATATCTTTTATGATGAAAAAGAAGCCCTTCATTAAAATGCTCAGTGACTTGAGACAAGGTATAAATGTGTAAATTTTTACATTAATATTTCAAAAGTTCTTTTGCTTCACGTTACTGTTGTCCTCTTTCCTTTTTAAATAGTTTATCTTCCTTCTTTATTTTGCATATACAATTCTTTTTTTTACACTTATTTTTGTCTTTCCTTTGTTTTTCCTTTCTTCCTATTCCATCTTTCTTCTCATCGCACTTCATGCTTCTACTTTTCCATATGTCCTTTCTTTCTCCTTCGCAATTTTCTGTTCTCATGGTCTTCTCTTTTCTCCTCAATCCTGCACTTAAAGTTGTCTTAACACTTCCTTCTCTTCACAATGTTTTACAAAAAATGTATATTAAGCATATTTTCTGAATTTGTCAAAAAAATTCTCTCTGCTCTTAATATTTTGAAAATGGCTTTACGTGCTTGCTTCGGCAGCACATATACTAAAATTGGAATGAAAATGGCTTTAAAAGTTTCTATATATTTTTCCTAAATATAATTTATTTTCCTGTGATCACGAATGAATTTTATTTTATGAATAAATAATGGCCTTTGATTTAGAGTGAAAATGTCTCAACTGCTCCTATACGCATGCAATTAGTTTGCATATAATTAGCTTTATTTTTTTCTATTGATATTTGGTAGTAAAGAAAAACCATGAGAAATTATCAGTATGTTATTGGAGAGTAAGAATGGAGATAGAAATCTAAGTTGAGAAAGGTTGAAGCTTTTAGTAAGTGGGGAGGTGAAAACACACGGGAGAGGAAGAAGAGCCAGGGAGAAGGGACCTTAGCTAAATGCTTAGGGCTGCAGGGTTCTCCTGAGTCTGCTGCTGAGAATGCCTGAAAGCATGCAGAGGAAGATGCTCTCTGAACCTGGGAGTTCAGAGCTCACACGGTGCTGGAATATGTCCTACTTCCAACCAGGCAGGATACTGTAACCTTAGAGATCCCAGAAGAAGCTGGCTTTAGCAGTAGAACCAAACCATCCACATAGCAAAGGTCACTTAAACCTACACTGAATAAGATTATTTGGAATAATACACCTGACCGGCAAAGAGCCTAAAACATCTGCCAGAAAGAACAAAGCCCAATGATTTTTCAAAGAACAGAGCAAAATACATAACTCAATGTTAACATCAGAAAGGTCAGAATCTAATCAAACATTCCTGGCTATGTGAGGAAGCCAGAATATATGACTCACAACTAGGAAAACTGGCCAGTGAATAGAAATGGATTCAGAAATGTCAGAGATAATGGAACCAGGGAAAATTCAATCAATCTGCTATTATAAATATGTTTAAAAATATCAAGAAAGAGTTAACATAGTGAGAAAAATAGTAATACGGGAAAATTGTACTGGAACACGTGGTGTTCCTCTAGGCAGGATAGTTCCTGGGCTCTTGTCAGGTGGAGTCGAAGAATGAAACCACGGACAAAATGTGGTATAGCAAAGGTGGAAATTTATTGAGAAACCACCACAGACTCCCACGTGGAGAGGGGAGAGTTCTACTGAGTCCCTTTTTTCCATAGTTCATAAAGGCTACAGTTCTTTGTGCTTTGATATCCCCTCTGATTGATCACTATCCCCCTTAGATTGGTTACTATCGCAACTCTAGATCACAAACCTCATCTGAACTACTTGAGGTTCCTTCCTTCTTCTCCCTTATCATTTCCCTATTCCCTCTGGGCTTTTTTCCTCCCTCTCTGAGTGAGGGGCTTCCTTTCCTTTATTCTGTAAATGTACACCTTCTGCTGCTCTCAGCTCCCTTATCTTATGGAAATGTACCCTCTGCTGCTCTGTAGCCCTGTGCTTTTTCCATGGACCCCTTAATTCTTAAAATTTCCTAAACCTGCCTATTTCATCCCTAAAACCTCCTTTCAATAGAATATGTGATTTAAAGGAACATTCGAAAGTTAAAATATCTGAAAAACACTTCACTGCAAAGTACTAAAATCAAATTAAACCCTGCAAGAGAAAAGATCAGTGAATTTGAGACATTATCAGAGGCCACTTTCAGTCACAGAGGAAAAAAAATAACAAATGAAAGAAATGAACAGAGCCTAAGTTAATTTATATTTTAAATTGGAGTCAGAAAGGGGAAGCATGAAAAAATACCTGATGAAACTGTGGCCAAATCCAAATGTAATGAAAAGTATAAAAAGCTCAACAACCTTAAGCAGGATAAATCCCAATAGAAAAACAGCGATGAAGGGGAAAAAAAAACAGGCAAAAAGAAAAATTTAAATCATCAAAAATACAAACAGTATAACCACACATTACATCCATAATAACAAAGCCAAGAATGACTCTGGAGTTTTCTTTAAAAGAAAGTAAACCTAAAGACAGTAGAGCAAAATGTTTAAAATGCAGATGAAAAAAAAAACACACACACAAAAAAAAAAAAAACCTCAAACTAGAATAATAAAAGCGAAGCCAAAATAAAAAATCAAGAAGCTGAGAATGCATTTCTAAATAATTGATAAAGAGCATGGATAGGGCTTATAGGCAATAATGTGCATTCCCTAAGGGCATTATACTAAGGGAAATAAACTATTCACAGAGGACAAAACAGCATGATTAAAGTAGAACTGAGAAAAATAATTTAAAAATATTTTGAGCCAAATGAAAATAAAAACACAACTAATCCAAATTTGGGGCTACCTAACATTGTGATTGGAAAGAAATGCATGCCTCTAAATTGTTAGTTTATAAGAAAGAAAAACTTTAAAATCAATCATCTGAGCCTCCACCTTAAGAAATTAGAAAAAAAAGAGCAAATTAACACAAAGTAAGTTGTGGGAAGGAAATCCTATATAATAAAGATGTAATATGCAAATGGTCATTATGTAACGACCTACCGCATAACGCAGCGGTTCTCAACCTGTGGGTCTCAATGCCTTTGGGGGTCGAATGACCCTTTCACAGGGTTTGCCTAAGACCATCTGAAAACACATAATTGATTATATAATTACATATTGTTTTTGTGATTAATCACTATGCTTTTATTATGTTCAATTTGTAACAATGAAAATACACCCTGCATATCAGATATTTACATTACGATTCATAACAGCAGCAAAATTACAGTTATGAAGTAGCAACGAAAGTAATTTTATGGTTGGGGGTCACCACAACATGAGGAACGGTATTAAAGATTCACGGCATTAGGAAGGTTGAGAACCACTGGCATAATGGATCAGCAGGAGGGTGGGGCAGTGAGCAACCAGCGGGTGGTGGAGAGCTACAGGAGGGGACAGGGCAGCAAGCCAATGAGGGGGTTGGGGGGAGGGAGGACAGGGGAGCCACAGGAGGGTGGGACAGCGGGCAGAGAGCTACAGGAGGGCGGCAGCGAGCTAGTGGTGCACGGACTCGTGTACAGGGCTACTAGTAATACAGATAAGAGTGGAAATAAATTGTATAGAAAATAGACAAACAGTAGAGAAACATATGTAAAAACCAAAATATTTTTCTTTCAAAAGATCAATACAATTCTAGATAGATTCATATGAAAAGTATACAATCATTATCATTTTTATTAATGGAATAGTTAACAGATTCTAAAGACATTAGAATGATGGTTATGGAATATTACATGTAATTTTGTGGCAGTAAATTTGACATCTTGTATGAAACAAGTAATTTTCTTTAAAGACATAAGTTGTTAAACAATCAAACAAGAAGAAATAAAATGTTTAATAACCTGTTATCTATTAAAAATTTTAATTCACAGCTAACATTCTTCCCGCAAAGGAAACTCCCATTTCAGTTAGTTTCGCTGGTACATGCTGTGAAATATTTAATATATTGATATGAAGCCTACATAAACTCTTAGAAAATATAATGATAGCATCAACCAGATCCCAAATCCAGCAGAGATATTACAAATATAAAAATCAATTTTATTCATGAATACAGATACAAAATTTCTTAACTAATTACTAGCAACTAAAATCAAGCTGTTTATAAAAGGATAACATATTATGATTATTTGGAGAATCCATGGTAGTTTCAACATTCAACAATCAATTAATATAATCCATTATGAAATATTGTAAAATCAAATAATTTATTAAAAAGCTATTGATTAATTTGAAAAGAATAATATTAATAAATATTAATAACTCAGAAAAAAGATAAACTTCTTAACTTGGTAATGCTACCCACAAAAACACTACAACTGACATTATACTTAATGTTGAACTATGGAATGCTTTTCCCCTAAGATTGGGAAAAAGTAAAGAATACCTGCTCTCATCCCCTTTATGCAACATTGTATTAGAGGACATAGCCAGTGAAATGAAGAAAACAATATATAAATAGGTAGAAAAACTGTATTTATTTGTACAAGACTTACTTGTGAATAAAACAGAAAATAAACAAAAATATGAAATCCACACCCACTCACACAGCTATTAGAAATAACGAGTCTATGTATCACAGTTACAGATATAGATCAATATACAAAACCAGGTATTTTATAAACTATGATGCAATGCAAAATTAAAAAGTAATTCAAAATACTATTTAAAATAACATCAGAAATCATATAATATTCAATAATAATCTAACAAAAAAAGTGTAAGTCCCCTAAAATGAAAACAAGCATTATTGAAAGAAATTAAAGAAATTAAATTGGTCTAGAAGGCCTATTTTTAATAGATAAAATATCCCCAATAAGTATATAGATTTAATATATCAATGAGAAATCCAGCTAGTTACTCATACTCCTCCATGTTTGATGATTGTTCCTCTCTCTTTTTTTCATTTTTATACTAGTGGCCCAGTACACAAATTCATGCACATTAAAAGGAAATTAATTAGAAGAAATATTTTAATATTGCTATTCACCCTTTCTCTATAATAGAAGTGTCAACCAAATTCATGATCGACAATGACAGATCAGTGTGATTAGTGCCAGTGAGGGCTTTATTTGTGTCACCTATGTGCAAGCCAACTTAGTATTTTATAGATATGGAATAAACTTGCTTAATTAGACCTGCTTTCTGACTTAGCTAAACTTTTTCCAGCCCTGTGAAGCACCCCAACTTCTCTTTCAGGTAATTGTCAGCAACACAGCAGCAAATATCAACACAAAGCAGATTATTATTGTAGATCATGCAGGGAGAACAAAGGGTAAAATATTTAACTGCAGCAGTGTTTGACTATATTTTGGGCAGTAAGAAAACCTGAAGTCATTTTCAAGGTCCACCATTTCTTACTTCTTTTCAGTCAGGTCAAGTTTCTAAGCTTTCTAAATCTCCGTTTCCTGGCTAATGAAAAGAAAATAGGATTCCATGGAGTCTCCTATCTACCTACTCCAAGACTTCTGTGAGGATCAAATGAGATGAGGCAAGGGAAAATGCTTCACAGACATTTGGTTAAAGAGTAAATGTTTCCACCTGGCTATAAAGCAAGTCATGTTCCTGGGCTGAAGAAACTGCAAGGAGTCTAGTCGCTAGGGAGAGGAAGCAGTGCGTTGCTACGTGACATCATTACCCGGACGGTTGGATGCTTAGCATATTAGCCTTTTATATATATAGATGCTCCCTTGCTACATTGTCAGATTCATTGAATTTTTCTGCAGTATATAATATGCTATTAATCTCACCCAGTATTGTTTCATTAGATCTCATAGTTTTCACGTATCTCAGATTTTACTTTTTAAATTTTTTTAAGTTTAATTTGTATCCTTCTCTTTAAATTTCTTTCATATTTTTCCTTAACAGCTTCATATTTTTTCTTATCTTATTAAACACATAAAATATAATTATAATATCTGTTTAAATATAATTATTTATCCATTATATCATTTGTGTCATTCCTAGGTCATTTCTATTGATTAAATTTGGAACGCATCATGTGTGGTATTTTTCTGATATTTTGCATGCTTGGGAATTTTGAATTGGAATTTTGGCTTTCTGAATTTCATCGCATTGGATGCTTGATAATTTTGTATTCTTTTACATATAATAAGCAGAGTAGGAACATGATCAGATTAGCATTTTGAAAATGCAAATGCTAATTTCAAGTATAGGGGCAACTGGAGAAAATGTCACTGGAATTCAATGAGAAAACTGGTGTAGTATCCAGGAGAGAAATTATGAGCATTTCATCACTGCTTAGCTCATGCTGCCAAGTGTAACAGCTGGATAATTATTTGTTGTGTTGCATTGATTCTTGATCAACACACAGCAGTTAGTAATTTGTACTCCCTTTTTGATTTGTAGAATATTTTATATTGGAAAGCAATTCCAAGCTAAAGGAAGCTATCCTGAAGAAGATAGTGAAGTCAGAATTTAAAACGGTTCATATTGATGACTATGGTAAAGTTCTGTGCATGCTACGTTATTTAAGAACAACTTTCTCTGCATCTTATAGTTTTACATATAAATGACTCTACATCTTTAATATTTTGCTCTTTCTTTAAAAGAACTTCCTTTACAGTTGTCCTATCCCAAAGACTTTACGGAACGAAACAAGTATGCTCTTCTGTTAATAATGTAAGTATTTTATTTGTTTTTGAAAAAAAAAGGAATCTAAAGATTTTATAATTTTTCTTAAGCCTCACATGACAGCATTCTGATTAAAACAAACAAACAAACAAAAACCCAGAAGAAGAGTAGCTAACTGGGAAGCTGTCAGTTGTATGAGTTCCTCAAAGACACAGACATTAATAGGAAGGAGGTGTAATTGCTTTGTCCTTCTTTCATTCCAAATGGGACTAAATGTTACTATTGGGTATAGTGAAATATATGATTTGGTTTATGTCTGCTTAACAATTGCTCAACCAGACATAAACCAAATTATATATATTATTTAAATGCTATTGATGGGTATATAAGTTTCTTTCTTGGGGATTTATTTGTCATATCAAAGTTATGCTGACTTCATAAAAGCAATTTTTTATTGTAGTAAGAACACTTAATGTGAGATCTACCTTGTTAAATGTTTGCGCTCACAGTACAGTATCATTAGCTATAGGCGCAGCGTTTCACAACAGATGTAGAACGTATTTGGTTTGCATGACTGATACCAGCTACCCATATAGCAACTTCCATTTCCCCTCCGCCTAGCCGCTGGCAGCCACCAGTCTACTGTCTGCTATGAGTTTGACTACACTAGGTACCCCTTGTAAGCGGAATCATGCTGTTTTTTCCCTTCAGTGACTGGTTCACATAGCATAACATCCTTAAGGTACATCCATGTTGCAACATCATGCCCTATGTTGTTAATCAGTTGTTTATGTAATATGGAGGAAACATTTCTTTTCATTGCTGAAACATTGCTTATGCTTATATCACTCCTATCAGTTTTCCTTCCTGGATGCTTGGCCAGCAGGAAATAGTTCTCATACTCAGAAAACTTGAATATTAGGTATCTCAACATGGAATTGACTCTAGAATTAAATTAATCCATGCTTTCTGTGAGATGATATTGTGGCTGTGTGATATTGGGCACAAAGGCCCTTAGCAGATAATGGTTCATGAATTTGATATTGATGTAGCATTGTATTCCTGAGAGTTATGCTATTTTCCTTATTAAAAACCCAGCCAGTATATTGCTATGGAAGTCTAGAGTTATATCAGAGGCTCAGTAGGAATGATAGAAATGACAATAACATTACTGGTTATGACTAGTAGATGCAAGGATAGTATTGAGTCTGCAGAATCAAACTGCCTGGCTTCCAATTCCACTTTTGTCATTACTAGCTGTATGTCCTTGAGCACATTACTTAACTTCTTATAAGGCTCAGTTTCTCCAAATGTAAGCAAACATTGCAATAGAGCCTCTGTCTTCAGGCTGCTTTTGGATTAAGTGAAATACATCATATGAAGGGCCTAGCACACATGATTATTATAATTAATGTGATTATAATTCATTATTTAATATAGACTGTATTGATTTTATTTAGGTATTTTAATAAGTAGAAGCAATTTTTCACTTCATTTTAATAAGCCAAATAATACAGAAAATAAAATACTTAGTATTTTCACTTGGCCCAGTGTTTATTCCTAACTATAATGCTTTGGTCTCAATTCGTTTTTTATGCCCAGACCTTTCTCCTTTGTCACAAATAGCCAGAAGGTCCCCAAGGGTCTTGAGTCTCACAGGGGAAGTTCTTATGAGCTCCTTTTTATGTTAACTTTTTCTTTTGCCTCTTCGTTTTACCTTTCTGTTTTCAGTCCCTACTTGAACTACATGTGTGACAGGTTGAGGGAAATATTTAAGGCATAAAAATGGAACAAAAAGGGGGAAAATTCAACCTCACCCTCTGTTTCAGTCCTATTTGCCTTTGGGAAAAGGGATTGTCCTTTTCATTCAGTGGGAAATATGGTTTCTCTAGGCATCCTTGCTTAAAGGATGAGTCCTTTGGGAGACAAGTAGACAAGAGCTACAGAGTCTCTGTAACTAGAGTCAGAGAAGGCAGCTGGATGGTCCTGGCATCAGGTTTGTGCTTTGCTGTGGGTGATTTTTAGTTCATACGAGGAATGTGAGGACTAGCACAAGACTCCGTTTCTCTTGTTAGGAAGGGATAATCAGGTCTTTTTCAGAGGCAGGCTGGTAGAGTAAAGGCACTGGCTAAGGTTCAAACCCTAACTCACTTACCAATATATTGCTTAATGTTCCTAAGTTTCTGTTCCTTTATAGATAAACGGGAGATAATGACATGGCATAATCTATATGAACATGTGTTTGGTAGAACATGAACACTTGTACTTAGTGTTTAATAAATAATAACCATAATCATAGTTATTAGAAGTAGTACTTTTTACTTTTTTTTAATCCTCACCTGAGAATATATATATATTACTGATTTTTAGAAAGAGTGTGAGAGAGGGAGAGAGAGAGAAAAACTTCGATGTGAGAGAGACACATTGATTGGTTGCCTCCCTCACACACCCTGGACTGTGCTGGGAAGCAAACCCACAACTTTAACCACTGCGTAGCATCAGTTAGGGCTATTAGTAGTATTTTTAATATTTAATATTATCACTATAACATATATAGTTTAGCATCCATAAAGTCATTTAATAGACATTCATTGCTAAAGCAGATAAAATAATTTAGCCAGGGCCCATAGAATTTACTTTGTAACTTTTTGGTTGATGAAGAAAAGAAAGAAAATGAGTATCAATTTATTAGTTTTTATAAGCTGATTATACTAAATATTAATTTACTTTATTCAAACAGCTCAGTTTTCAGATGTAAATTCTCAGAAGTTTAGTGGAATATGACTTATAAAACTAAACTGAAGACTTTTTAAATTTTTCATTTAAGAAATGATCTATTGTCTTAAGCTGCATGATCATGACTAAAATATTTATACTTGGAAACTTATATGTGTAAAGATGGCTTAAGTGTGAAGTGTTTTGTAATTGTTTGTTAGATTGTCTATAATTTAGAGGCATTGTTTTCCTTAAGGTTAAATCCTGTTTTCAGTGACAAGTGGATTTCCCACTCTACAAAAGAAGATAATGATAATTGATGATTTTTTTCCTAAATGGGCAATTAGTGAGGAATAATAAATAAAGTGACTATTATTTAAATGAGACTAAGAGATGATTATATGATTTTGGCATCACAACTTGATTGCTATTCTGTGCAGTGCATCAAGTTCTCAACAGAAGGAGTCCCTTATGTCACATACACAGATGGATTTACAACCAGGAAATTCTGTGATAAATACATGAGTAGGAGACAGGTCACAGCAAATGCCTGAGTAGCTGGAAGGATGATGGGCCTTGAAGAAAGTGACCACTGGCAATTAGCAGGCTCCTTTCTGTTAGATATTCATTATTGAACCTCAGAAGACATGGTCCTCTGAATACTTCTTTGTGTCCATATTATCTAAAACCCAAATCTAATTTCATGGTATTGAAAGGGCTGGTGAATCAAAGGCACAGGATATTTTACTCTAATAGAAAATCTAAGAAGCATTGTCACTACAAATATATCTGAGTGGCCTCGATTTTCAGTGGTTTCTATGAGGTCATGACTCCCTTTTCCTTTCCTAATTCTGTTCTCTTTCCAGATGCCTAAACATATTTCTCTAGTCTCTCTGTTTAACATTATAAGCAGTCTTTAGGGGCCCAGGAGTCCATATTCACCTTTATACATCTATACATATGGAATGGACATACATCTATATTAATTTCAGCATTTATCAATTTGAACTGTTACTGTTTATGTTCTTATTTTATACTAATGTATATGTAATTTAATGCAATGCACATGTACCATGTTGCTTTTATGTGTAGGAAGCTGTACTAATGCCTGTAGAGAGACAAAAAATGACAAGAATCTTGAAATCTGTAATAGTTTTTTAGATTTGTTTAGTTTATCTCCCCAGTGCATAACACACATAGAAGAAAGAATCCTTTTAAAACGTACTGACAAACTTATAATTTTCTTAATTGTGCAGGACTGGAGATTATGTGGAATAACCTACAATGACAGTGCTTATTTGATAAATACATAAGCATGAATCTAAATGCCAAGACCCTGGTAGAAAGCAATCCAGACAGATGTACTGTTATTAAAGATGAAGGGTTGTGTGTTGCTTTGTTTGCTGTCCATGAAGAGAAGTGCTGTTGAACTAGAAGTTTCATTCAGTGCTAAGAAATCACCATCTTTTTCCATTTCCTGCTCTTTTAATGTTCAACTTCTCTACGCCACACTTGATAAGGTCTAACTCAGGGAGGCAGTGACTGTTCAACAAGTTAATATATGGAATGAAGCACACTCTATCTGACCCCATGACTTGGTTCCCTGTCCTTAAACCCATGTCTCTTGAAATTCTAATGAATTCATGGATATCCAGCAAGTCTTATCTTACTGAAGCTCTCTTTCCCTCTCCTCATCAGTCTATCTTACAATAATTAATCCAGGCCTCCATATACAAGTATATAGCTTTATGTCAAAAGACTCTCCATCTATCTTAAACCAAATCATATTGTCCCTTTTCCATTTTATCTGAATATTTGTGAGGATGGTTTTATATGTTAATTAAAGAATTTCTGACTCCCACTAGATTTTGGACCAATGTTTCTGAAGGAAAATCTGCAGTTTAGATGTTAGTATTTAGAAAATTAATTAAAAGATTGGCTTATGGAATATTTCATATCTTTTTTAAAAATATATTTTATTGATTTTTTACAGAGAGAGACAGGGAGAGGGATAGGGAGTTAGAAACATTGATGAGAGAGAAACATCAATCAGCTGTCTCCTGTACACCCCTATTGGGGATGTGCCTTCAACCAAGGAACATACCCTTGACCAGAATCGAACCTGAGACCCTTCAGTCCACAGGCTGACACTCTATCCACTGAGCCAAACTGGTTAGGGTTGGAATATTTCATATCTTAAGAAAATTGAAATGCTAAAATCTTCATTGTATGTAATCTATATATTAAACAGTGACCAACTTATTTGTGTATTTTTATAGCAACTAGCTTTTGTAATAAGAGTCACTCCACACATATGTGTAAGTGACCAAGTG